GAAACGAGTGTGTTTCTTATAGTATACCATTGTTTATAAAAATTGGTTTATTACAATAAAATAAATAATATAATAAAATATTTAATTACGTATATATATATTGGAATTAAATTAATGAAAAAAAGTTATTATAGAATGCCGAAATTATGCCAAAACTATATTAAGATGTTAGTATTAGCTATGCCGAAACTATGCCGAAACTTGCAAATAGTTTCGGCAGTTTCGGCATTTCGGCAGGTTTCGGCGTTTCAGCGTTTCGGCAGTTTTGGCACTAATAAAAGAGTTTTGGCTTTCGGCACCAGGCCAAATGAGTTTCGGCAGGCAACCTTAGTTGGTTGTATTGCATATTTCTATTTTTACTATATATTTTAAAAATTTAGAATTTCAGTATGAGAAATTCTATTTGTCATCTTATTTGTTATATCTCATAATTTCAGTTAAATTTTATAATTTTGGCCAAATTTTCCTTTTTTTAGTATTTGAATAATATTACATAATTTAAAAAAGCAATTTGTTTTTTATAAAGCATTTACACAATATTCCAAAAAAGAACATTTTTATATCAATCATTTAATTCTGGCCAAATTAAAAAATCATATAATACTGCCAATAATTACCACCAGCAATAGCCTTTTAACTTTTGATATTTACAAAAAAATCAAATTAACCATTTTAATAGCAATAATTCTTCAATTTAAAGATATTAAAATTTCAGCTAATATAGAGTAAAATAGTAGCAGATAAAAACTTTTCTGAATTACTTTATTTTATATATAGTGGGATTTACTATTTGTTATTCTAAATATATTACTGCTAATTTGTCAAATCAAATATTTTAATATTAATTACAATATTATTACATTATTGTTAAACCAATTTATTATATAAAGTATTTAAAAAGTATATTTTGATCAAGAAAAAAATTTCATAATTTATAATAAATTTTCATAGGATTAAAAAAAAGTTAACTACCGTTACTTTTGCTGGGGTCTGTATGTGCTATGAATTATTTTTTGAATGATAGATGTAATTGTTTCAGATTTTGCCATGAATCTAATAAATAAATGTTATGAATAAAGTAAATATATTTATAAAGGAGGAGAATATTACAATCATTGAGCTATATATCTATATTATTAAACCGACATAAAATTAAAATTATTTCTAATTAAAAGTTAAAGAGATTTGGTACTTGTTCGCTACTGGTATGAAATATTACCAATATCCAGGCTACACGACGAGGACGTCAGTACCAATCGCAGCCCCCAAAAAAATGACTGTTGGATACAAAAAAAAAAAAGAAAATAAGAATTTTTTTTTCAATAAATTATCTTATTCTTTCTTTGTCTTATCGTTTTCTTCGCCATTATCATCATCATTTTCTTCAGATTTTAATTTCTTAATGGCAGTCCTCAGCGCCCGGCTATCAGTTTTTCTTGGGCGAATTACCTTGTCCTTTTTTTTGTCTTTGTTTACTTTTGTGGACGATATAACAGGAATTATTGCATTATTACTCCGTGGAAATATTTGCTCAATCCTCATTGAGTCAGCGAGACCATAATTTATCGTTTGCGGACTAGTTATACGAGGAGCAAAATTTTCTTTATTTTTTCCATTGTCTTTCAGAAAGCATCTGTCGCAAACTTGATTGATAACCACCAAGTTGGCATCAATTTCTTCCTTTTCTGTTGTAACGTTTGATGATTCCATACCAATAGAAGCTGACACCGGAGCGACAAGTTTGTAGGAATTAGCTAAATTCACAGGGACGGCGATTTGTGAAGTTTCACCACTCAATGAGCTCAAAAATGCAACATTATAAGAGAAAACATTTGCTGATATTGATTTGGACATTGATACAGTAGTTCTGTTGGATGAAGACACAACTTTTTTTTGTTTTCTCCGTTCGTCATAACTCATACGAAATCCTCCTGAATTGATGGAAGATGAAAAAGTTTCGTAGCCCAAATGACCAAAGCTCAGAAAATTTGGAACCGCTTCGTGACTAGAATATGAAGGTATCAAGGTTGAGCTAGCGTTCAACGTAAAATTTAAATTTGGTAAGAAATCGACAGTAGAAGGTGAATTATTTTGTAATTGCCCGTATTGAGAAAATAGTACATTGTTTTGAAGGAATTTGACACCAAAAGAGGTTGTATTAGCCTGAGAAAACTCCTCACTAGAGTTGCTAGCTGTATCGGAAAAACTTGAATTATTTTGCGAAAATTCAACATTAGAAGAAGATGCATTGTTCTGCGAGGATGATGTATCTAAAGTAAATTGAAAATCTTCGTTAAATGAGGAACTATCTTCGGAAGAGGATGTTTCTTTCGTTGATGTTAAAAAATCGTTGTCAAGCAATGATTCACTTGTTGAAGTGCTAGAACTGGCGGACAATGATTCTTCATTTAACCCTAATGGAGATTCTGTCGCCTGAGTGCTCGTACTTTCGGCAACATTATCGTCTTCGTCATCGGAAGTGTTAAAATAATTTTCTTCGTCAATGTCCATGTAATCAGTTTCCCATCCATAATTACCGGATCTACGAGAAGTAGTTTGGCTAGTTGAAAAAAAAGGAGGAATGGTAATCATAAGTTAAAGCTCATTCATAAATGTTAGAGATGTCATAAAATTTACCTCAAAGCAGATACTGCTTGTTGTATAGATGGTTGAATTACTTCACTATTCTGCTCGTAACGAAGTTTGAATTGATTAAAACAATTGACATATTTAATTGTTGAGAGCTTGTCCCTGTATTTTTCCCAAATATGATTTACAAGAAACTTAATATTTTCCTATTAATTAGCAAAAAAACTCTCGTTAAATCGCTACAACAATTAACTATTTAAGTATAAAAGGTTAAGGAAGTTGAATTACCTTTCGAATGAATTCAAAAAATTCAAGACAGGCCGAGTTAACAAGATTATCCCTTCCCTTCGTAGCTAATAAGGCGCGAACTATATGACCATATATATCTTTCTCTTTACTAATAAAATGCCGATAGATGATTTCATAATCTTTCGTTCCTATACAAGCACGAATAAATCTCAATGCAGCTAAAAGATTAAGATTAGTATTGAAAATAAAAATCTTTTTTGATGAATAATTAATCGATAAATTAATATTATTTACCAAGTTTAACTGTTCCTTCACGACATCGAAGCAATTCGACTACTTTTAAACTTATCTTACTTGAAAGTAAGAAATATTTGCTTCGGTAGGTATGCTGCTTGATGAGGAACGATAAAAGTTCACAAATATGAAATGCTAAAGTAGCCTTATCATATGATAACCATGGAATTTCTGTTACAGTGTAAAATTTAAATCAATCATCTCAATCATCTCGTCATCTGACAAAATTTATACCGAAAGAGCCAAAGTAATATTTACCCTCATCATCTGCAATTTCTGGGAATTCCATTATTGGTTTAACCAATTTCTTAATAAGATGTTCATAGAAAAAAGTAATAAATTCCTCATTGTCCTTTTTGGCCTGCGGGTCTTCAGTAGTAGTTGTGCCAACTTCGGTTTGATCGGCACTCAAATCCAATAGCATTCGGATAGCTTCGGCGTATTGTCCTTTGGTAAAACAGTCCCTGTCTTTTAATAGACGGTTGATAATGGTTTCAGCCAAAGTCTTCTGTTTATGTTCTGCCTGAACTACGTTGTAAGTTCTAACAAGACTTGCGTCGGTCTCAAGAATATTTGCCAATATATCTCCACCAGCCGCTTTAATGGTTGCATGGTTATTACTCAATGAAAAGTCGAAAACACGTAATGCTCCATTACGAACCAGTGCTCTATAATTGAATTGTGGTTATAATATGCGATACTAATTTAAGAGCTAACAAATACTTATACTTGCTTATGCAAATCTCTTCTATGTGGTAAATGTATGTTCTTTGCTATAATGCAAAGTTGTGACGTGAATAATACGACGTCACGTTTTCGTTCCGACGATTCCTCTTCGCGTTCTAAAATTTGGAAAAGTTCATCTAGGAACTTCTCATCTTGTGTAAAGTGCTTGCAGATTTCAACATGATTAATGAAAATTAACGATGCAAGCACCGAATTCGTGGGATCGTCCATCATTCTGGCAAATACAGCGTCCTTGAGGTATTGTAGGCGAAATGTTTCGTGAATTTTTGCCTTGATTGTCTTGTTAGATATCTTTACGATCTATTAGTTAAAAATTAAGTCAATATCAAAATTAATTTTTTAAAAATGGCTAAATCATAAACTATACTACTTCTTTGAACTTTGAATTTTTGGTCAAAAACTCCCGATGATTAGCCTTATGTTTTGGGAAGTCTGGGTCATATTCTAGACATCCTACAACATCAAGAATGACATCGTCACGAAGTACGTATCGGATGATATCATTATCTTGCAACATTACTAATAATTAAGAAAAAACAAGAATAAGATAAAATATGTATTGATGATATTATTGATATTATTCAAACAATAAATGTAAATACTACTTACTGAAACCTTTCATGATATTACATAATCTGTAAAGATCTTGCACCTGCTCAAGATCTTCACAAGTTTTAAGCAATGGCAGAAGCCTAGCTATGTACTCCTATGATAAATTATATAAGAAAAATCTTCGATTACGCCAAAAATAAACTCAAATAAAAGATTAAATATATACCTGCGAGACATGTGATGCAAGTTTTTCTCGTTCGTAAATTGAGCGGGTGGCCTTTTTGACTACTCGTTCAATCTCTGGTAAATTTGCTAGAGTTGGTTCCGGGAGTACAACAGCCATGCCTCGTGGCTCTCTCTCTGGAAGAGGGGAGGAAGCTCTTCGCTTTCCCTTCGCTTTTTCTGACGTCATATTGGATTGTATATCATTCACAAAGGTGCTAAAAATAATTTAGACAAGTATTGTTAAGAAAGAATTATTAAAATGAGATAACATTTATAATTACCATATCTCCGTGCAACCTTCCGCTTCCTGAAAGCTCAAGGCTAAATCTGAGCCATTCGGTTCAGTCCAGACAATCAATGTGTCTATTATATATTATATATTATTAAAGATCAATAAAAACTTACGAACAAAACAAGCCAAAAAAAAAAAATTCTTATTCATACCCTGTTGTTTTTGATAGTCTATATCTCGTAAAACACGAGATTCTAACAAAATAGATGATGAGTCTTCTTCCGATCGGACAATTATAAGAGCATCGTCCTTTGCCTATGTTATTAAAACGAAATTAACAAAGCTCTTATTTCACGTATAAATCCTCGTATAAGCTATATGAAGTTTATAATGTAATTTCTTCGATACAAAATTGATTAATATTTTTACGTTTATGCTTATTCAATGACATTTTATTAGGTTATTTGCTTTGATCAAGCAGGAGGAATGTCCCAACTCTTAAGATGAGCTCAAATAACAAAATCTTAAAAGCAGTAATGACAATTTATTTATATATTGCTTTTTGTTAACATTGGTAGTTGAAATCGTTCGTTGAAAGATAAAATAAAACTTACTCTGTTGCGCAAACATGAGCAAATCCCGGTCCCTTTGTCCACCCATTCGCTATCCTTGTTAAGTTGGTAAACCTTTACACGACGTGATTTAAATGCTGTTTCCATGTTGGTAGATAGTATAAGTTTTTGAAATGATATTGGTTATAGATAAGATTATAAGCGTAAAGTTTGCAACGCGTTGCTGATATTGAAAGGAAAAAAAAGTTATTTAAACGTTAGGAAAACTCAAAACGGTGAGAAGTTCCTTATAAGTAATATTTTACATGGGTTTCTTTTTTTTTTTCAAAAAATTACCTCTGGAGCGAAAATTCGAGAGTCAAGGAATGACATGAATTTGTACGTCTGTTTATTTCGAGTCAAAACTTTTCCCCGGTTTTATGCATTCGCTGTACCGATAAAAAATCCGCCCTTTTTTGATATAGGTTTCTTGTCAAAATTGCTATAATTGACGACATAATTAATACATTATAATAGTAGAAAGATATTTGCCATGCCATGCCGTAACGTTCTAACATTTTTTGCTCAAAATATACAATAACTTTATCAGATAAAATATTCAAATATACACTTTCCAGTTTATTATTGCCTATTTATTTATCAATCATGGAGCGTTTTGTAGTACTATATAAATCTGTTAACTATGTATTTTTCTAAAAAAATTTCTAATTCTTTTTTATATATAATCAATATTACTTTTAGTAAATATATTATAAAAATTTTAATAAATTTACCAATTTTTCAGTTATCTTTTAATTTATTTTTACCATTATTTAATTTATTTAAATAAAACTTAAAAAACAAATATACTGTATTAATATATTATTAAAATGCCTTTAATTCTAAAAAAATATATTATTAGAAAAAAAGTAAAATTATCTGTTATATATATGAATTTGAAATTAAAATAATTAATATAGTAGTAATTTAAATTATTCCAAAGTTAAATAATTAAAATACATTATATTTACATGTGTTCAAATCTCACAAAATTTGTAAAAAAGAAATTTTTAATATACAAATTTTTTTAACATATATATTTTTACCTGCTTTGCAAGTTTATTTAGAGTAATAAAAATAGATTTAAATATTATTTGGATTTATTTGACAATTTTTTTTTCAGATTTTTTTTATTAAATTATATGGAAATAATAATTTTACACAGGAATATTGCAATATATTATTAAATAAATGCAATGCAAACTTTATGTACCTATTATAAAATCTTTACTTATAAAATTAAAAAGAGTTTAGAATACTAATTACATATAATATCAATAATATAGAAGGTAAATTTTAAATCCTTAAATGATTACTATAAAATAAAGTATAGCTGGACCAACTTGTTTGGAAATTTTATTTTGTAATAGTTTGATAACTTTTTTTAAAAAAAATAAAAAAAAATAATTACTATATAAAAAAAAAAAAGTAAGATTTAAATATTATATATAAAAGTGAAATTGAAATTTATTTTTTTTATTTAATACAGTTAATACAGTCAACTCCCTCTATAGTCACTTCCGTTATAGTCACATTTTACTATATAGTCACACCAGTTGAATGTTCAAAACACTTTATTATTAAAATCTATCCTATATAGTCGCAATCTATCTATAGTCACTATCACACCTATCCTCAAAAATCTTATATTAAAAA